TAAATGTTATCGTTTAATTTAGGAACGTTTGTTAACATCAATGGAAGTTTGCACCAAAAAACATTTCATTGTATTTTTTTTTGCTTCAGTTTATTTTATTTCAACAGTGTTGTACCAACCTCGACAGTTATGGAGAGTAATTATGAACTACAATTAAAATTCAAAATTTTTAATGTCAAAACTAAACGTTGTTACTTTCAGAACAATTTTTGCGGTTTAAACGCACAGCGAAAGAGTTTTCTGTCAAGGGTAAAAGACAGTTCTGCAGACTAACTTTTGTGTCAATCTAACTAACTAGATTCTCAGCTACGTTCTTTCATTCGTGGAAACACTGAGTTATGTAGTTAAAAAATGAAGATCCTTATGTAGTTAATCGCATTTTATTCTTAATTGTTCCAACTTTCGATACGAAGGTAACGGATTATTTGTGCTCGGGATTTTTTTTTTTCTTCAGACAATTTTCGACTTTTTAACTAGACTTTTTTGACGCAATTTTCTTAAATCATTCAAAAACTATTGTTGTCCTGAGCTTAAATTTGAAAAGATATTTCACCTGTGATCATTTTTTGTAAAATTATGTTGGTGTAAAAATTGCAATTTTGATGAATTTGGGACAATAAACGCGCGATATAATTCGCGCTATTAACGCGTAAGCGGAGATTTAATCCGTCTTAGAAATCGTTCCAAATTGGTTGAAGGAAGCTTATTTGCCATAACTGATGTGTTACTAAAAGCGACTTTATCACTTTGTACTTTAAATGGCGTGTGGGAGGATGGTTTTCACAAAATATCTCAAATTTTTCTTACAAAATTTTTTTCATTTTATTTTCTTATCTGTACATTTACTTTTTTCATGGTATTACTGCTTCAAAGACGTTAAAAAGCAGTCGGAACATTCAGGGTTTCGCCCTGATACGAGCAGTCTTGTTCATATTTCGTTCCTGTTTGATTTTTGGCATCTTGAAAAATTTGCAGCGACCAAATAAAAAAACAAAGACAAAATCACTTAAGCCGTTTTGTCTTTTGGCGTTTTAGAGAATTATATTGATTCGAGAATTAGCTCAAGTTTTTTGAGAAGGAAACACAGGCACATATTAATAAGTAAGAATTGCTATAGTTTTTTTCGTTGTCAGTAAACGTGGGTTCCATGCTCGTCAACGGCGTGGCTCTTTAATTTTTACCCAAAACGGGATTGTTAAAAAATTGAAAAAAATGAGCGAAAGAAGAAGAAATATTTTGGGTTTTTTTCGCTAATTTCACTCCTCGACCCACAAGCTAGGTGAAATGAAAAGTGTTTTTTTTTGCCTCACTCCAAATTAAAATGATTCATTTTGCCTCATACTTTTTAATTGCGCAAAATATAGGTAAACTTATTAGAGCAAAGGCGATCTGTAACAGGGCAAACTTAATAGGACAAACAAGATCTCTAATGAATAAATTCAATTTTTCTAAAAAAAAAGCGAGCGAGTTAGACTTTTTTTCAGTAAGATTGTCAAATTAGACTATAAGGTTTTGTTAAAGATAATGCGATGCCCAGAAACTAAATCAGACAGTTTTTTTCATAAATTCAGAGACCTATATCTAAAGGAAACTGATTTCTGTGCGAAAGTTTTTCGTAAAAAATTGGTTGAATTTTTTGACGAGTAATTATTTTGTATTGTATTAAGAAATCATAAACAAAAATTCTCGTTCTTTATGGTTCAGATCTTCAACAACAAAAAACGGTTCATGCAAAATTTTAGGTTTTAACCAGATAAAAACAAAAAACGGACTCTGAATCTCCTCTCAAATGCTTCTGCAAACAGGCTTGCAGCCTTACGGTGACCGTTTGAATCGGCGCTACCAAAATTGTGCAATTATAATTTATAGTTTCTGTTATGTGCCTGATTCGTGAACAATTTTATTCTATTATTTATATACAATATTTTACGTTAAAAATTTTGCAACGCCCACAACCTGACACAAAGTTGCTAAGCTTTACTCGATTCTTTGCTAAACTAAAAGCATCGCTGGCTTTCTTTCAAATGATATAATAAGAACCGCCAAAAATCTAGTTAAAAATCGAGCGTTACCCGAAGAAGCAAAAACCAGGCACAAGTATTCTTCCAGCTTTGGCTAAAGTCAAAACGAAAAACGATTATGATTTTGTTTTCCGTCAGTTTACCTCAATTTTTACCGATAGTTGACAATTTAACAATTTGAATTAGTACTTTAACAAATTTGGTAAAAAATTTTCAAAACAATCAAAACAATCAAAGTTTGTGGCAAAAACACAAAAAATTACCCTGATAAACGTTCTTTAGTTATTAAAAAAAATATTAGCTACTGTAGCAAAACTTATAGAATTTTTGAATCCTTTAATTTTATTGTATCCAATAGAAAATTAGATTGCTTGTGTTTTCTAGCCAAAATTTCAGCCCTGCGTTTTTTTTTATTTCGTTTTTACCAATTACTTACAATTAAAATCAGTTTTTCACCCTGAGCTTATGATAGGCTTGAAAATGGTTCCCTTTCAAAATCAAAACTAAACATCGACAAAGAATAAAGAATTTGACGTAACCTTTTTTGTTTTCACAATTTCTCAAATTGCCCTGAAGATTAAAAAATAGTTTATTTAAACTGTTAATTGGGATGTTTCGTGCAAACTTGCCAAAATTGAAGATAATAGTTGTTTTTCATAGCTTAAATACGTTTATATGTGTAAGGATGAAAAGACTTGAAAAAACGACAAAATTACGTTTAATAGTAGCAAAGATAGAAAAAAATCCTAACTATTAAATTCAATATTCAACCCCTCATAATATTTTTGGTATAATTTGTTGCTTTGAGTCTGAAACACTGAAAAATTTAAATCACTTTTTGTCGAAAATGATGCAATAAATTTTTTTTACTTTTTGAATAAACAGTTGTTGACATTAAATTGGATAATGATTTGGATTACGGTTGAAAGAGTTTTGTTATGGTTTGGTCCCACAATACACAACACTCAAGCAGCTTTCTTCGAGGTAACATATAACGGGCAAAAAACACATGTCATGCCAAAGTTTCTTCCTATTTCGTTAAAAAACCAAAAAACAAATAACAAAACAAGTTGGTTGCTGTGCAATCAGAACAGAATCTTTTGATCAGGCTGATTTTGAACAAATATATTTTTTCAAAACGAGAAAAAAAATTCAACATTTCTTCTCAAATTTTTACAGTCTTTCAGTTCACTTTTAAGCTAGTAAGATTGTGAAAAAAGGACTAAATTATTTAACAAACTTTGAGAACAGATTGTGATAGTTTTTCACTTTTTTTCGGTAGTGAAACGTTTTTTTAATCTTTTGAAATAAATGTAGAGTTTTTTTTCATTGGTAATACATTCAGCCTCTTGTGAGTTTACTTTGAGGTAGTCAAAATTGAGCAAAAATTACACTAGCTAATCCAGAGTTCCTTCTCTTTTTTTAAAATTTTTTTATGAGTGTAGTTAAGATACAGTTGAGCAGCGCGAAGCAAAAATATAATAAATTTAGAGTGTTTCAAGGAACTTTTATAGTATAAAAGATATTTTTTCTTTATTTTCAAATTTCCGACTAATGAAAATGTAAGAACTTTGTATTCGGATGTGTTTTAGTTTTTGTTTTCGTTTTCCACGCAAAATCAGATACCACAAATAATCATGGAACTGGGTTGAATGATATTTCATTTTGAAGCCCTGTCAGTCGTGATATGTACCACATTAAAAAATTCCCAAAATCTGGTTTCAAATTTTTGGTGTTTCGTCTAATTTGGCGCGACAAAAGCCAACGAGCAGATTTATTTGTGCTTATTTTAAGCTATTGTAAAAAGGCCTATTTACAAAAGCTTATTTATAATTGTTTTTAATTTTATTCGCCAAAAAACTTGATTTTAAAAAAGTTATATATTTTTTTGTTTTTCAAGTCAATTCCATCAAAATCTGTTGTCCTGTTTGCCTATTTCACTATGGTTGTCGAATATGACTACATTATAGTTTTACGTCAGATCTTTTTATCACAACACGCATAAATAACTACACTAAATTTTAAAAAAAGTTTTTTTTTCTTGTTGATTTTTGAAGACTATGGTCGGAACATTCTGTACTATTTGCACAGTAACCGGCTATTTTTGTTCTCTGTGTTGAAAACTGGGTAAAATTTTTAAATCAACTAGTTTTGGGCCTAAATATGCAAGGTCTTGCTAGCAGAGCTAGTTTATTTTTGGCACTAATAGAACCCCACTTATCATTTAAAAAAAATGAAACACAGGCGCGCAAGATGTTGATTGCATCTAAGAAAAACATACTTTCACGACTAAAAAAGCTAAAAATATTGAAATCAGGAACAGTTCTTGTTTTGCTAATTAACTATCACGTATCTGATCGTTTCAATTTTAGCTTGACTAATTATTCAAAAAGGTTCGGGGAATTGTTTTTAATGATAATGATTGTGTTAAATCATAGATAAATACGGTAATTTTGAAATATAAACTGAAATCACGTTATCAGATAACTTATCCAGTTTATACTTCGAAAATAAGTTCTGCCACTAGAAATTTTTTAACTTTCGAGCAAAATTTTGGAAAATTCGCGAATTGCGTAGGAAAATGGAAAGCCTCCATGTTAAGGATAAAATCTTTGCGTCAGCTTTGTCCTGGTGCCTTTCAGATTTAGTTCATTTTTCAGGCATTTTAGCATTGAAGTCCAAAAAAATACTCAGGTAAGAATGATTTGCCGGAATAATCTGTTTTCATCAGAAATTCAAGCGAGTTAATATGTCGGGTGGGTTTGAGACTATCTTTAAGCTATAAAACTGCGTTGCAGCTGAAGTTACTTGGATACCCGATTGCTCATTATTTTGTGATTACGTGCTATTTGGAATCATTTATTGAGAGCTGTGAAAAATGTCCCGCGTCTAGTCATTTTGTCTCCTATAGTACACATTGTGGAAAAAATAGTCTTTGGGCCAATCAGATTTGAGCATTTTTCGTCCGTCTGAGAATAATTCACATATTCTGTCTTTAGAATTGTATATTCGACTATATGATTTTTCTTGATTCGATTTGAGGGGGAGCGCAGAATTAATCTTAATTGCGTATTGAATTTATCGCTCTGGCTGTTCGAGCCGGTTTAGTCTTTATTGGACGATATTAATTTTAGCTCCTGAAAGTGTGAAATTGCTGATAAAACTCGAAAGTATTTGATTGTGTAAAAGACAAGCAGCGGCACGAGGTGCGAGGACTATTAGATTTATTTTATAGATTGAGACCGCGAACAACAAACCACTAAAGACTAATTCCAAATCTACAACAATATACCAACCAAATTACGAGCAGAACAATAAAAACGACGCAGCACAGGCAGAAAAAAAAAGGCCAGCAAAACTCAAACACATAAAGTCACTTTCAATTCTGGTGTGATTCGAATCGCTTAAACATCGCGCCAGCGAGCTGTTAAGTTTGTTATTTTTATCGCCTTGCCAAATCACGATTAGCAACTAGTTATTTCGGGATCTCTCTGAAGATAATCACTTCGCCTTACAACTCGACTGCCTTCTCCTCTTCGGTTCGGTTATTAAATTGATCGCCCCATCTCCCCTTAAACTAACTTCATTACTTCATACCTGACCCAAATTTAATTCCACCTTTGCTCACTTTAAGGTGTGAAAAAGAAATTATCCATTCAACCGTAATTCAATACTTCCAGAAACATAAATCCCAATCAATGGATTATTTTCGCAATTCTTTCTCAGCGAAAAGTTTCAGCTGACAAAATAGCAGCATCACACGTTTCGTGCTTCGAACGATTAATTGATTGATTCTCGGCCCTTTTCCATTACATAATAATTATCGCCATGATTGCCTTATCCGGTCAAGTGCTTCCACGGATGTCGTTGATGATTGTCGTCACGCTGCTGACTTATGGCACTGCTCAGGGTAAGAGAACGTTTTTTTTGCAGCAATCAAGCTCGAGCAATAAGTCTGTTTTTATAAGAGGAAAAACTCAAAAAAATGTGTATTATCCGCTGGTTAATATTTAAATGAACAGTGCGTTGATTCTTTACCTTTTCTTCAATTTTCCAAATATTCGTACAAATCTTCCGTGACAATGCTGGAACATAAAAAAAGTTTTTGAGACCTAAAATTGAATAAACCTTGTAAGATTTTCTGCAGTATAATGAAACAGACTCAAAAAACCCATGTAAATAAATTAAATCATTCATATTTTGAATGGTTATATTTATATACCTCACTTTTTTTCAATGGTTTTTTCAAACCTACTTGAAAAAGTGACACTAATAAATTCTGACAACAATAAGTTTCTTGGCATGTTTTCGATCCGAGTCTGGGCCGGATATAAAACTATCAAACCTTTCGACGCTTTTGTTTTCGAAACTTTAGTCGCCCCTTTTTTAGGTGTAAAGATTCAATTTCGCTTAAGCTTTCAGCACCTCAGGAAAGTTTTTTTTAAAATAACTAGGACAAAAATATTATTTTCGAGCGTTGTTTAGAATATCCGACCAAAAATTTGACCGAAGGCGCCTTTGGAAAATTTTTAGGGTCGGTCGAACGAAAATGGATGTCGTAAAAGGTTAACGAAATTGAATGGACCCTTTGGGTGGGCAGGGGTGGGAATCCCTGAACGCCTGAACAAAAAAAGCGTCCGCTAACACCCCCTCGCTCCTCAAATCAGCTACACTTTTTGGATCGCGTCTGCTCTAAATTTGTCCATTGTTTTAAGTTGATAAATTTTGAACAGAAATTTCCACTTCACTTGTTTGAAGTTATATAAAGCGCATCACAAAGCAAAATTGTGTTTGCAAGTTGTAAAAAAATCAAAGTTGGGCTAGAAAACGAGGTAAATTTTTTGCCAATTACTAGTTTTGTTATGGATTCAGGGTTCGAAATAGCAGCGGAAAGATTAAGACCTAAATTTAGTATCTAAAGCAAGAACAAACTAAACACGGAATATTAAACTTTTCTAAGTCGTTTCAATTTTTCTGACCAAAGTAACAACTGTTATTTTTTATCAACCAACTTAAAGCGCAATCCGTTCTTTCTTCACTTCTGGGTGCTCGCTTTTATTGTTGATGACATATAAATGATTGATCAACTGATTCAAAGTAAAAGCTTTTAAATACATTTAATTTTTGAAAGTGAGGCTTATTGAAAACCAGAGTACATTGATAGCTGATCTCGCTTTTTATGAAAAAACTATTCCAGCTTTTCTGGTATTGTCAGCTTTTAGTCCTTTGTTGTTCCCTCTTTTGAGCGCTGCTTTCGCGATAAGTTTCGGCTGAAATGTGAAGAAAACGCTGAATGATTAATGGAACTCTTAAGAAATGAGCCACTTCTTTTCTTGCTTTCATCGCAGCAGGTGCACTACTGTACTGTGCTATTTTTCACATATCTTAACCACTGGCCAACCGTTTTGATCAAGCCCATTAAACAGATGATTAAAATATACTTTTCCATGACACATTAAACAAACATTTTGTTTATTTATCCTTTTTTAGATCTCTTTTTTGAGATTTAAATAAAAAACTTGACCGTGTAGAGTTGAGTAAACAAGGCGGCGAGGGGGTTGAAAGCCACTTCTTTGTTGTGACACAGACCAAAGGGGGGTCTGAATAAGTTGAGCTGCTAGTGTACCAGAGAGTTGTTTTGTTTGGCGCTTTCGAAATGAATTTGGGTTTATAGCTTAATCCCCCAGTACGCAATAATACAACACCATCCGTTGAAATAAGGACCATTTCGGGATCCAGCAGCGAACCCAATTGCTTTGCTCTCTGCCGCAACTTTGTCCCAACCTCGCAGACGCCTTGTATCGAAAAGTACAACTGAAATTCACAGAAACGAAAGGGGGTAGCCGAATTGAAAACAGATGTGGGATCAGCCACCGTTCTCATTATTGTAGAGCGACCAAAGCAAAACAAAATTCCACAAACCCATACGTTTCATTTATTACTTTGTCTCTCTCAAACCGTTTGGCCATAGAGAGTGGAAACTTTGACTTAATTTTGCGCAATATGCATGTATGAACATTTTGTAAATGAACGAGTTTGATAGATTATCAACGATAAGAAATGGTGTCAAAAACTGGGAAATTTCTCTGACTACAAAAAAGTTCAGTGTTCAATTTTGCGAGAATTGTGCGAACAATTTCGTTTCAGCTGCGGGCAAAATATACAATTTACTTGTGCAATCCATAAACAATAACATGCTTTTTCTTTAGTTCTCAAAACCAATTTGGCTCCAAATTGCCCGAAGGTAGTTTTCCTTCTGTAACGGAACTTGCTTAAGTCAACAACTAAAGCTTGTGGTAGTTGTTGTTATTTCGGTTATCGAATGTACAACCAAGAAAAATATTTTCCATGGTGTGAAATTTGATCAGACAGCGTGAAACTGATCACGTTCTTATGAAATTGGCCGTGATTTTTATGAACTTGATCACAATTTCTTGCTTTTTGTTGTTTCAGGCCTGGAAGATAAAGAGATGTTCAACTTCGCTCCCCCTCTTCTGATAAGCGAGCCCAGCCAAATGGTGCTTCTGAATAAGGGGGACAACTATACACTCAAATGCCACGCCAGGGGAGAACCGGCACCCAGATTCACATGGTACAAAGAAAAAGAACCAGGTACGTCCGTGTTTTATTTTCTATTGATTTGACAGTATCAATGCTTCGAGGTCTCTGAAAAGAAAAAACTTGTATTAGATCAAGCATCAGCATCAAAATGATCTTTGTTTTTCTGCCACTTGATTAAAGTAGTTTAGTTTAAATCAAGAAAAGAGGTCCGACTGAATTTGAGATCAGCCTTGATGAGACACTTTCATTCAGATCAAAACCTGGAAAGTTCTTGATTTCTTACTTGAGCCGAGTTCAATCATGCATCGCTCATACTTTGAACCATAAAACTACTGATTATGTAATCGCTCCCTTCAGCTGACAATTAAGGTTTCGGTTAAGTTAATTCATCATTTGGCCTGAATTTCATTCTCATTCAGTACATTCAGAAAACTTTACTGTCAAATCGAATCAATCATGTATTAAATTGAGCTTGCTGCAATGCTAAATTGAAAAACAAACATGAAGGTTTCAGTCGCAATCTAAGCCATAGTCCTTGAATTAATGCATAATAGCCATGTTCTTAGATTTACTAAATGCTCGAAATATTCAGATGTCAAGCATGTCAATTTTCCAAACTAGAGCGCTATGCTGAAAGCTGCTTTGTGCTATTTGGGCCATAAATTATGACAAGCTTATCTGAAAATGTTCAGTGGCGCTTTGCTCCAGGTCATGAAATGCGCTCATTAGTGTCCGTAGACCCTACAATGGACATGTCATCCTTTTGGGCTTCACTCTCAATGTGAACATTTGTAATTTGTAAATGGAGGTCAGGAGGGTGGGAGAGGAACTGTTTGCTTGAGAACGGCTGCTTATTTTACTCAGTTTTGGAGTTGTGTCTTCGCATAATTTGCTAAAAATTGCAAAATAGACTATTTGAGCAATTTTTCTATTTTCAATTTTTTTTCGGCATCCTTTAAACTTATCCATGGTAAATTGTTTGGAAATGATAAATGATGACTGAAAAATGCTCTGAATTTTGGTAGTCTTTCAAGTCCTTTTCGGTTGCTCTTAAGTTTGAACCTTCAATATTGAAGTAACACTGGCTAAAATTGCTAAACATCTGGCTGAGTTTAATTTACAACCTGTGCCAATTTAATCATCGACAAGAAGGTTTGGTTTTATTGAACAATTGTGAAGAACTCAAAACTCGATTATCAGCTCCAAATGTCTTCACACATTTTTAACCAGCATACCACCTCTGCTGCTGATCAGTGATCAGTACATGTCATGATTAGCCAGTGTAGAAGAAAAATTGGTACAATATTACTAATAGTAAAATAATAATTGTATATGCTGAACGCTACAGCGCCTCTGCCATTTTTGACACTGTGAAAAATAACATCACAACTGACGAAAAACACAGTCACATTTTATTGTATACGCGTTTCTTTGTAGCTTTCTGTCGCATATGCGGTGCGTTTTTTTTCCACCGTTTTAGCTGTTTTGTATGTAAAGTAGCCAGTTATTAGATATACATGCATGTGCGTTTGGTTTGTCCAGCAAAACATTCACAGATAACCGTTTTTATATCACATCGTCTCAAGAGCACCCATGCATTAATAATAATCGCTGCTGACATATCAAACATTTTTTAATATCCTCTGTTCTACTGAACATGCTGTGGATGCTCAAATAACTGTTCTCTCTAAAAACCAACTTCAAAATTATAAATTTCCTGCTCAAATTTCCTAAATGTTCACTCATTTTTCACTCTAGCTCAACTTTGCAAAAAAAAACTTTTTGTTTTGTTCAAAACGAAAACTGAGTCTGAAAACATTCAACATTATGCCAAAAATAAATTGCACACCAAAAATTCTTTAAAAAGCAGCTAGCAAGGATCATAAAGAGGAAAGTTGCTTTGAAAATAACCTAAACAATTTATATGTTTATTTGATATTCCAATTAAGGAAAACAAATTTCACAAGCATGAAACACAAAAGATCATCGCATGAGGAAATTGGCCCATAATCGTTTCAAGTCACCTATGAATATTACGATCACACCGATTTCCGTCATCCTTGATAAAATGTAAATTTTTTATTTGGCATCGGGATTTTAAATAAACTCACGCCTTTAATTGCCGCCTAATCACTTCCTATTAAGCAACAAGATCTTTCTTTATTGACACAATTGTGCATGCACGGAAGTAAGGTGCGGCACGATTCCCCTACAAACCAAACACAGCTTTGCTAATCCTTGATTTTTTCTGGAAAAAGATGACTGCTTTTATTAGGTTTGCTTTTACTAATTGTTTACACTAAGTTTGTTCTTATTAGTCGCTAAGAACTGATTTGAAATAATATATTTTCCTTAAACCCGATTTTAATAGTTCATCCGCAGATAAATTTTCTGACAATATATCAGTTATTTTCGAAATAAAGCTATTTTTTTCTATCGTTGATGGTGGAAAATTTGTCGAATCTTGTAAATTCACTCTAGGATAACCTGTCATGAACTTGCTTAAGTCTGTCCGACCAATTAAACACTGAACTAAACGGATGAAATTTTCAGGTGCTATTTTTTGATAAAAATGAAAAATCTCAAAATAGACATTTTTAACAGGACATTGATGTCACGTTTGACCAAATGTGCAATTGAACTGAACATAGTTTTTTCTTAGCAGTCCAATTTTGCTCATCGTTTTGGGAAGCAAAAAAATGTGATATCTTACAGATGTTATTAAGCAAACGTTCGTCAAAAATAACATAAAAAACTATGAAAGGCGCTAGGTTGTTTGTTTTCTTAATACCTGCTCCATTGTGCATTAATTCTGACACCAATGAACAGGAGCTAGATTTCACTAGTAAACGAATTTCAGGTTTGAAATAGCTTTGTTTTACAGGTATTAACTATTTATATCAGCCAAATGTCAAAGAAATACAGGTCGCTCGTAGGGCTGGTTCCCGAATATTGCATAATTTATTCACTGTCGATGTTTATTTAAAAATAATTTGAACCGGACAAAAGACTGGAATTTAGGTCATCATTGTTTTTTGTTTATCGATCAAACAACTGTTTATGCTCCGGTGATTCATAATTAGATTATATATGCTGGAAAAATTGGCAGATAGAAAGTGTGAAGTGAGCTTAGTTGGGAAATTTGAAGTTGAGATTATTGGAGGCAGGCTGTTGAAATTTGGAGAGGTGGGGATGCAATCAAATTGCAGATTATTGTTCACCTGTCTATCTGGCCCGGCTATCTGGCTGAACTGTACAGCGGATACGACTAGATGGATTTCGGGGGCTCTTAACTTCTCGAGTGGGGTGAGCAAAAAGCAAAGATGGGAAGCGATGTCGCGATAATGTATCGATGCAGTCTATTTCAATCATTCTACCTACCTATGTCTCTATTCCTATTATCCCCTTCCTTTAGCCTATCCTATGCGCCTAATATTAAATGCGTTCTCTATTTTTTGTGAACGGGCGATGATGTGAATTGAGAATTGTGCTGTTGAATCTTTTTGATAATTTTTCTTGAATTCAAACTGCGGCTGTCATTTTCGCACCTTTTTAATTTTTCAAGTGATCACCTTTATTAAATGACGTAATTGTTTCAAATTGTTTCCCACCACAAGCCAAATTAAGTACCACTTCAGATGGATAAGCCACGAGCGTACATAAAGAACTCCCCAATAGACCAAAATCCAATTTCACTCATTAGGATTAGTACAATAACTGAGCATTTAAAGTTCACGTGCTAAATTGACGATAACTTAATTGCCCCATTTGAGTAATTTTTTAACATTTGAAATTATCTTTTTAAACAAATATATGAGAAACGCGATGAAATTAATTGAATGATTGTTTTAGTTGATTTGGATTTTTACAAAGATAAAATCACGATCAAACACTCGGGAAGCAGCGACTCCAGACTGACTTTCAATGGGTTTGACACAACAATGGAAGGAATCTACTATTGCAAAGCCAACAGTCCACTCGGAGAAGCATGGAGCATCGGAACTAAAGTATCAATTCCTTGTGAGTTCAATTATGTGTTTCTCATTTGCAGCCAGAAAAACTGACAAAAAAAACGAGTTGTTTTGAGAAATATGAAAAGAATTCTAAAAATAGACCTTTCATTCTAATTTTAGACGTAACTTATTCACGCTTTGGCGGGAAACGACTCGAAAATTATCATTTACAGGCGCAATTGCTGAACTTAATAATTACAGCAATTTCAGATTTCCCGCGCTTTTTCAGGCTCGTCTAGAGCTATAATTAGATGGCCTTTTCGTTTGTATGTGTCGGCAGATTTTGGCGGCTAAACTTCAGAGCGTGGCTCAACATTTGAATGAGCATCAAAACAACACGAATTAATTTGAAATTGTTCACTTTTAGCTAAATTAATTTAACTATTAATTTCACTTTTGAAAACATACTTCGTTAATCGATAAATGAAATTAACTCAGTGGGAGAGTACTTTGTAACTGTTTGTTCAGGGGGCGAGGTGATTGCTCTCTCAGTTGATCGAGCCATTAACTCACCTTTAAGTTGTAAACACTACACGTTATACAAATAGGCCGCGTTTAAAATCTCGACAACAAGTTTAAATTAAAAAGTGTCCTCTTGAGACATATAAATCAAGCTCAATGTTTGCATTTTTTTTGATAATATAACGCTTTGAAAAAAAACGAGCTTGCGTCAATTTATTTGGGGGTGATGATTGACAGTCAGTTAAGGCAAAAGCGTCCACAGCATGATAGTGACTTTTCAAAAGATTCCCCTTCTAATTAGTTCACGGAACAAAAGATAATAAATTTGAAATGTCCTGAAAGCGGAAGCTCAACGTAACACTCGGATGAGCCAAGAACTGCTCTTCGGCCGTAGATTTTGTCCTAGTTTTCAATTTATCGAACGCTTCCCTGTTCTTTCTACTTTTCTTAGTACTTTTTACATATTTGGACGAATGATTTAATGTTTTAGTTTTGGATGACCGATTTGGTCCCATGAAAGAACTTGTTCACGTGGCCGATTTGACCCAACCTGAATTGGTCTGTATGCCCCCTCGTGGGTTCCCTAGACCCTCCATTTCGTGGGAGAAGGATGGTAAGCCACTGATAATTGACAACTCAAACATGTGGACGGACGAAACAGGGGAGCAACTGACCATCCGAAAGGCAAATGTATCCACACATCAGGGCATATACAAATGTGTAGCCACAAATTCAGTCGGAAAATACGTCAGTCCAGGAATCAAACTTGTCATTGAAAGTTAGTATTACTGATTATTCAATTAGTAAAAAGCTTTCACTACTGATCAGCAGATGTGCGAGAATCGCTTGTTTCGTTTTCAGCAAGACTTTTTTAATTGTCAGACAAAAATCTGAAAAGTGCGAGTGATTTTCACGCCTGATTTATTTTGGCTAAAAGAAATGTTGATATAAGAATGAAAAGCCATTTAGCTCAATCTTTGCACCAGTTTTGAATACGCCAGAAGTGTTTTTATTGATTAATAAACTGGCATAGCGTTTAACTGCTTGGCATCTTAATGGCCAGGTTGAAACGCAAACGCGCTGAAATTCACGGCTACGAGAGTTTTGCTGTCAATCGAAGGTAGTTCAGATTAATGAAAGTGGCAACTTCAGCTGAAGAGCAAACGCATAACTTATTTGGTATTTGTGGCGCTGTTAGCTAATGAAAATCCAACACTACAAACCTCTCAGAGTTAATAGTCCCGCGGTACTTGTGAGCTAATTTAATTGATCGTGTACATATACCTGGGCAATGAAATGTTAACAATCGGTCACTTGTGAATCAATTAATTTACATTTTAATTGATTTCTGCCATTAGATTATGATGGCAGTATTTCTGCTGCTGAGAAAGAAAGAAAAGGTATAAAACAGTGCTGATGATGATATGGTGATGATGGTACTAAAACTCAGCTTAGATGCTCATTGCTTTAATAATACACATGTTTCAAGCATTCCATGAATCCTTTTAAGTTTCGTTATAGTTTTGCTTTGAAATTTTATGTTCGGCAGATTTCTCATTTTTTGTTTGCGAATAGTGTTCTTGTAGCAAACAGAGCGCGTGAATCAAATCGATGTGATAAACGACCATGGCTCTTTCTTTCAACAAGGCCAGAAATTGTTTATTGTGACACTAAACTTTAACTTCTTATGAAGAGGGGAAGAACCATATTGGGGCTATTTCAAAGAACCTTGTGTTGTTCTCCGTTAATTCAATACTTTCTACGCAACATGTTGCAAACTAGGTCGTCTAGCTTCTAATCGGAGCATTCAAAATTAAGGCAACTATAGAAGCAAACTTTTCAAATTGTGATTGAATTTTTGCTCAGCATGTGTTTTGTTTTGCGCTAAAGGCCTTAAAAATAACCAAAAGACGGGTTTTAAAATTTAATGTCATCTCAAAACTGAAGTTTTTACGACATCCTTTTAACATAAAGCAGTACTTTTTGCATTAGGATATTACATTTTATGTTTGTATCAGTTGTAAGAATAGTTCAGGAAGCACACATTAACGTACCTACACATTTACCATATCAAAGCACAACTCATTACCAAGTGTGTGCTAAGTGTTTAAATTAGCCTGAATGTAAACTGACTGGTGTTGTAATAATTTAGAGCCGCCAATGTTCATCAAACTGCCGCCGAAGCAGCTGACGTACAACGAGGGTACTAACTTCTCAATCCCATGTGAAGTTGTGGGTGCTAAAGATGTCAGGTGGCACACAGACGTACCGATGGCAATTGAAGACGGAAAACGACAGATGTTAGTAGATTTTAATCACCTGGCAAAATAAAAGGAACCCAATGCACACCTGTTGCCGGTTACTGAAGTTTTATCTCTCTAATGCTCCGAATCCAAGCCATCAAACTATACCAAACCGCACCTCAAATCCCTCAAGTCTACTACACTTGTTTTAAGCCACGATTAAGCAGTATTCTTCCTTGATTTTGGAATTACTGCTATTGAATGTAACCATAAACATGCTCAGATTTTTTGTAGTCTTTGGCCTAAAGGTGCAAAAATATAACGTGGGAGTCAGTTTAAAGCGTTTTTGTTTTGTTTTATACAACTGGTGTTAGATCGTCTCATATTTTGGTGAATGATTTCACTGTACATGAAAGCGTAAACTCTAAGCTTCCTCTGTTTTTCATTTCTTAAGGTCTTCTGGTTGAAAAACAACCTTTTTGATGATGTATAAGACAGCTGTTTTTTCAACAACCTTAAGATGAAACGGAAGTCTTCAGACAACTTTGATGAAAGATTCGCTTGATTAAATTTTTACAACAAAGTATCTTGTAAATTAATTGAGGCGTATCTATCTAGGCTTGGCCCTAAATTCACTTCTACAAATCATCCCAAGTTTGTAAATCCCGCTAATACTAGTCCTCTTTCATTGGTCCTGGAATGGGCGAAAAAAGTGACCCATAGGCTAAATTTAAATCCCTTTTCTAGCCTTTTCTCAAAAGCAATATAGTCTAATATTCACATGTCGAGATTTCATTTTGCGGCTTTTCGAGATTTTCATTTGTTTTTTGCTTCAAAGTGAGCGGAAGGCACTTTTGTTTCAAAATTGTTTCGTTACAGTAGATTAAAAGTGTTTTTAGGCCTTAATCAAGGCATATTGAGTGTAGCATTGACAACATTTAATGTTTTCCAACATTCATTCTCTCCGCGATGCTATGATGTTAATAGCATAGCATCACAAAACTTGATGTTCTGCACCGAATTTTCAGAATTCTCAAACCCAATTTCGTTGACTGACTCTCAGCATCAAAGCATTATGTTTGATTTTAAAATTAGGGTACTTTTTGATGGTGTTTTTGCTTTCAACTTTCTCTAAATTTTATTGTTTTTCCTAAAAACCTTCTAGGTCAATTTCTTTCAATCACGTTTATAGTAAATTTTTCACACATGCGATTTGCATAATCTCTTGTATCGCATTTTAATCATGCTAGCCCATTAAGTTGTTTGCTCATTGAGCACAGATATACCGTTTGCGATTAAAATATGTGATCGATCCAAGTATGTTTATTCTATTAAAAAGAAAGAAGTGAGTTTGCGGGTTTGGCCTCTTAATGCATTTTTCTAGAGTGCAATCTCGTAAATGAAAACTAATTACGTTGCAGTAACTTGAGCCTTTTAATTCGTTAAACAATCATTTGTTTCACAAGTTTGACCATTTTTTGGCACAAATAAAAAATGAAATCATGGTAAAAATTAAGCATCACAAAAATACCAGATATAATGAAACGTGCGTTGATTTGTTTGAGCGTTTCTCACTTTTCGAAGTTTAAAATGACTGAGTTAATTAATATTTCTCTTTAATGAGCTGCTTATCAAGTCATCGTTTCACACTCTGCGTGTTGAACGATTAAACCGGTGCCGACAGGTCTGCACGATCTGAAGCAAAACTAAGTCAATTACGGCCATATTTTTGTGCTAATCCAGAAAGTAACAAAAAAACCAGTCACAACCATGATGAAAAAACCATGATGAAAAACACATACAAATATTGCTGTGCAAACAAACCAAAATGGCTCGAAAAGCTGTTCTCAATTTTTTCTCTCAAAATTAGATAGATGACGTAAAGCATAATTTTTTTTAATGCTGAAAATTTTGAAGTATGTGAAAAAAATCAAGCTTGATTGAAGACATTTGAACGATGAATGTTTTTTGCGCAGGGTTTTCGAGAACCAAGAGGATGATTCTCTGGTCATTCTGCGGGCAAAGGTCACGTATTCTGGAATCTACACGTGCAAAGCGGAGAATGACGTGGGACAGGCAGAGGCCTCTTCCAAGATCATAATTCAACGTAAGAACACACGAGAACCCAATTATAACTACCCAACCCAAGTTATGTGGCACTACTTAAACAGAACTGATCCTGGTCATAGAGATAGTTGGCTATGATCGGTTTTGTTTACCTCAGACAGGTGGTTGGCATTTCTGGGCTATACTCTCTAGATAAGAGGGAGGGTTAAACTGTTAAACGCTTGTTAATGTAGCCCAAATGTTTCGCATTAGCCTTTGGGTTGTGGGGTAGAGATGAATCCATGAGCCGTTAATCTGGAGACATGGAAGCGGTTATATCGCACATGTGTCATTTTGGTAGCCTAATTAGTATGCGGTGGTGTTAAGCTGGAAAAGCTTATCAATTATCGCTCTAGCGGACAGTAGCAGTTGTAATGCAGATTGCAGTCCTCTTGCCTGCTGCATTCATAACCAAATTTAACCCACTATAGCCCATGGCAGAGACTTGTTTTGAATAGAAGTGGTGCTAAATTAGCACTTGAATGGGGGCTAAGTATGAGGCTCAACATATTCCAGGCATACTTTCTAAATAGAAGCCAAATCCCCAAGGGATCGCAGATTTATTAAATGGAGTCGAAACATGGTTGGGGAGCATACTGGATCCAGATGTGGAAATACGGGCGACTAATCTTTTACATCTGGAAGTAGTTCTTGCTAGCGTCTGGTTTCTGGGAGAAAATCAAACGCCAGAAACTTAATCAATCAAAATATTTTCAAACAAGGTTGGAATGAGCTTTCAAACGGAGTGGGGAAAATCTTATGACAGCAATATGGGGCTTTTTATGTTGATTGTTTTCAAAGTGGTTGTAACCTGAAAATAGGGTTGTTGTGTTAGGGGTTTACGGGCACTGTCATGTATTTGGCCGTCTGGAGGAGGGGATTTAATGAGGGGTAATTTACTGTTTCAGCCGCTGTCGACACCAACATCTTGGTGGCACCTGAGTCGCAAACATGGTACTCTGGCTTCACTGGAACTTTGGACTGCAGAACCAAGGACCAAATAATCACCTGGACGACCCCTCTCACTAAACAAACCAAAGAAGTTCGTAATTCAATTTTTGTTTTTGCTTTGATTCAACCTAATTAAGTGAACCCCGCCCGTGCTCAAACTAAATCTTCTGTAAAAGCTGTATCTGTTCGGCTGAAAGAAATCAATGAAGCTAAGCACCGCCTTGCACAAGGATTTTTGGTAAACTTATAACTACGCTAATCCGCTTAGAGCCGATATCAATGATTGCATAACTGATTATGCAATCATCTTTAGATAACTGGGCCAACAGTTTGAAAGAGGCAAAAACAAACAGATTCAAAACTATCTCAATTTTGAACCGTAGTTTCAAACATAAGCTTTGCGCTATCTTTCTATTTGATCGACTTCCCAAAATCTCTCAAAGTTGATTTTTAATTGGCTTTGCATTAAGGCTTACAGAGAGCAGAGTTTGTTTGCGTTTGATAAACTGACTGAAGAAAAGGCGAAAAGCAAGCTCAACTTGGCAAACAGGCCCTAATCAGGCAAACACTCCCTGTTTGCCCAGTCAACTACATTATTTAAATTCCATTTGTTCGCCGATGCCCACCCAATATTAATTAATCATGTCTGAAGCCTAATTTATACAACGAAAATCCCCGAAAATTGACAAAAATTGGTTTTTCATTTTATTAAATAGAATAATACTTGAGCTAAAATGTCGAAAAACATTTTTTCTGTACGTCGCCGGGGGCGTTTGAATGCGATGCATGCAGTTATAAATTGACCGGTATTTAGCCTGTTATTACTTTGCCACAACACATGCTTGCTTTAGGGTCCATTACAACAGGTTAAAAGATTAAAGCCTGGTCTATTCCAATTAACCTAATGCATTACATTAGGTGCGAGCTCTGGAGACGTGTCTTAGGCTTCTAGGGGTGAGAGATGGAATATTTAAGTAGCAGTAGTTGCGGAGGGAACGGGGGACGGGGTAGTAAGTCAATGACTGTTCGCTATTCTCATTCGAACTCGGCCAGCCATTTCTGGGTGCGTGATCTGGCTAAAAGTGACTCTGATTCAGCCACTTGAGTTTTTTCAGTTGCCTTAAGTTCCGCCAGGATAATAAAAACATCAATCTAATTTCCGATACACAACATAGCGCTAAATGGAATTAACTAAAATGCCGGTGGATATTGATTATTTTTACAGCAAATCCATTTACACAGAATTAACTTTTTGTTTCTGTCTGAAATCTGAAAATGAAAGGATCGGAAAATTCAACTTTTAAAATCCTAATTCTCATGCACAAAAAGTAGTTGTCAATCGAATCATAAAATTCAAAACTCAAATTCATTTTCAAGGTTAGTCAAAAAATAGAATTTGGTACGATATTTTTTGTTCCGACTTTCGATACGAAAGTAACGGAAAATTTGTGCTCGGGGTGGGTTTTTTTTTCTTCAGACAAATTTCGACTTTTCAACTAGCCATTTTTGACGGAATTTTTTTATATCATTCGAAAGCTATTGTTGTCCTGAGCTTAAATTTTAAAAGATATTTCACCTGTGATCATTATTCGTAAAGTTATGAGGGTTTAAAGATTGCCATTTTGGCCAATTTGGGACAATTAACGCGCGATATATTTCGCGCTATTAACGCGTAAGCGGAGATTTAATCCGTCTCAGAAATCGTTCCAAATTGGTCAAAAGAAGCTTATTCGCCATAATTGGTTTGTTACAAGGAGCAAAATTTATCGTTTTGTACTTTGTATGGCGTGTGGGGGGGGGGGTGATTTTCATAAAAAATTTAAAATTTTAGAAAATTTTTTTTTTCATTTTATTTTTTCATACATTTATTTTTTAAATGTTATTACTGCTCCATAAACCTTAAAAGGCAGTCGGAACATTCAGGGCTTCACCCTGATACGAGCAGTCTTGTTTTCTTTATGTTTTTTTTGAGGTGCCGGTGTGATCAAAGTGTTAGTTAACTATGGATTCATTACGTAATCATCTGTTCACTCCCTGAAAGTTGTTTTTGACATCGCCATTTTCAGTTACGCACATTGTGTTCTTTTCCGCCTCTTTGATGTGTACACGAAACTTGAGAAAAAAAAACAATTGTACTTTCAAATCTCCGTGCGAAAAAAAAATCAAACAAAACTGAAGCGTTCCTTTATTCGTCCACGCTTTTTTGCATCAACAAAAAGGGAGGATTAAGTTAAAAGATTGTCTTGCAGCTAAATGATTTTTGGCATATTTGTTTGCGCAGTGTGGTTTTTAATACAAATGGCGACAAAACTCGTGTCCATTGGTTTGCATTTTACAATAAAATTAGTCTTTGGTGTGGCATGATTTCACGGGAATAGTTTGCATGTGCCATAAAACCAGCAAACAGAAACGTGTTCTTTTGAGCTAGGCTGAGCTGCGTCTCTGAGCTGGAATAAGGATAAGGACGGCCGCGCCGGATCTTAACACGGTGCGGGGACCAACGGACAGCTAAAGCTGGAAAAAAGACTAAAAAATACATCTTGACTGGAAAAGTGGGAGGGATCAGAAGGCTGGTAGCAGCAGCTCAAATGTATTATGTATGTTTAGGCAGCTATATTGCACGTTATTGGGTGAGAAAAATAATTCAATGGAAAAAAGCAAAAGGAGAACCATTTTTTGTCAGAGGAGGGGGGACGCTTAGTGTTTTTTGTAGATGAATGAACACAATTGAAGGTCGAGTACAGGAGAGAGGGAGGGAAGGGGGGGGGGGGTGTTGGTGACTGAACGAATGGGATAAAGAAAACTAAAAGGGAGCAAAATGAAAGGAATGAGCTAAAATTTGAAATTGAATTGAAGAAAGGCGAATGAAAGCAGCAATAACAATAACTGCTTTGAAAGCGGCCGTTCTGCCACCTGGCTCTATTGAAATCTCAATGGGTATAAAACTGTCTGTATGAATGGCCGTAATTGCACAGGTGTCAAAATCTAAAACAATCCCACGAGCAAAAAGTGAGAGAAAACGAAAACAATAATCTCCCAAAATGAAAAAACAAATCAGAATCGAAAGTTAGGCGTAATATTTAGCCATTTATTCATCTGACCATCACGTGTGGCGTTTTATTTTCACAGTTAGATCCCCACCAACAAAGCGTCTTTGAAGTGTATTGTTAAAACGGTCTCCTATAATCGCCAAGCCCATCACATTTGAACAAGGCAGCCGCTAGTCTTCACAGCAATGGCCTATCAATAATACAAAAGGCCTTTAAAGCCTTCGCACTCCAAAGCACCGGATCAAAAACAAATATAGCCGCGCCAACGTCACAATTAAGCTCAAACAAAAACAGCCTCCAAAAATCTATCCAAAATTCTGAAGTAATTTTCTAAAAAGAAAAAAAATTAACTGATCAATTATTCATAAGAAAGGACATAATACGTTCTTTGATTCTCATGAAACTAAACTTGATAAAAAAGTTGTTAAAAAAGATTTGCCGCATCTAGGCGGAGCTATGAAAGCTCCCTTGATTATGTTTTCTCATGAGTAACGGTTGAGTGAAACTATCCTGAAACACACTTGACTGTACAAGGAGGCAACAGCGGTTCTCCATAAATAGTCCTCAACTACTCGTATGTTGGTCCTTTCCATCGTGTATAAATGCACAAAAACCTTAATGAATATGCACTATAAGCCATGTGCGTTTAAGTTTTACATTATACTTAATTTTAAAAAATCCTTTCTGTTTCAGGAGCTGGTCGCTGGTCAGTTTTCAGCCTATGGGAAGTATTACGTCACCAGTGAGGGTACCCTATTTGTCTATGACGTAAACTCGAACGACCAGGGCACATACACTTGTAAAAATGGCATCTCAGCTGTGGACAAGAGCTCAGTCAGAAGTGCCAAAATCACAGTAGAAAGCAAGTTTCAAAAACAAACTTGAGATTCTAAAATTTTTTTTGTAAATGTCATAATAAAATATCCTTCAATAAAATCAGTGTTCAACTCACAAACATACATTTTTGAAAAACATTTAGAAAAATACTGAAAACTGATGTTGTTTACACCTGATGGTTTTTCCAGAGCAAATGGGCAACCCAGCACCCCTGATCCAGTTGGGCTCTTCTGACCAAAGAATCGTGTCTGGAGGTCAAGTTGTGCTGCTATGTGAAGGAAGTTCAAAATTGGACAAAGTAACTATTTCCTGGAGTAAGGACGGACAACCGTTCAGAGCCACTGAATCATCCAGGTTAGTCAATGCAAAAAATACTTCAGTTTATTCGATCATGGCTTATAAATTATCATGAATTAGTCAAATTTTATGTATCTTTTAAACGATTGGCACAGATTTCGTCCTATTTATTTAATTAACAAATTTCGTCACATACAGATTTCGTCCCATATCCAACATCCTATCATCCCATATCCAAATTTGTGGGAAGAAATCTGTGTACGCTGTAGAATGCGACGAAATCTGTTGAAATTAAAATGGGACAAGATCTGCAATGGGACAGAATCTGCCACAGCCCTTTTAAACCCTCAAGATCATGAACATTTTTCACGCTTTTCGAGTCGGCTTCAAGAATTGAGTCTTTGAAAGGGCGGAGCAAATGAATAACAGCATGCGCAGTTTGTCCACGGGTATACAAAATTAAATTTATCTCGCGCGAGGAAGCCACCGGAAAGTGATTAATCTTTTCTGACATAGGTCACCCGTTTAAAGCCAGTTTAGTTCTTCAGTTTAAACATGTGAAAAATATGTTTGATCCCATTTCATTCATGCCATACATATTAGGTCAGATAGTTCATACCATTAATCAAACAATTTCACTGACAGCTTTTAAAACCTAAAACACATGAAGCGAGTAGTAAAAAATGCATGCCTGAAAAAATTCTGTTTTCACACTTTTCTTATTGATTGCAAAAAGTATAAAGGGGTCTGAACGATTTAAATGTCAAAAGCAGAAATAATCTCAAAGAGCAGATAAGGCAACAATTTAAAAATATCAAAGCAGTTGATTTAACACTTCAGTTATGTATTTTGTGATATAAATCTAAGCATGTGCTTCGAAACTGAATAAATATCCAAATTCATCTTATTCGGCGTTTCTTAAATTCATGTTTTATAATTTTGTCGTGTCTGGTATCTATTTTGTGTCAAATTGTAATTCAACTCCTGTGATTCATTCTTAGTATAGAGGATACTTGGTAATACAATTTTGGTTCCTTTCATTTTGGACTTGGCGCTAATGACATTAAAAGCAGTTTTATTCCGTGAGGCTGGGTTGAAATTGCATCTGGATAACTGTTCTGTTCCTACCGGCGTCATTAATCCTTCATGTGCGCAAGATTGGAGGAGAGGCAAGAAAAGTACTAATAGCACCCCGAATTTCACAAACTGTGTACAAGTTGGACTAATTTGAAAGGGTAAGGGCAAATCTGGAACTACTCGGTCCAATTTGCCTGCCCCTCAAAAGAGTAACCTTTTCTACTACTATCCGGATTTAAGTGTTCATGCTTGGTATACTTGGTACAGAATACTTTTATGTTCGACTGATTTGCCAGCGATTTGGTGGCATCATTTTTTGATGCTGGGCAAGTTGCATAAATGATGCGTATTACAGCCCAAATTGCAACTTTTCCCCATTTCTAATTCAGAAAGTGAGTGGATAGGAGTCTAAAATGTATATATTGAGATGAATTAAGAGCACCGCTTAGTAATTTATCAGTTTGAGCGCTATTCAAGAGAACAAGTATTCACACTTCTGCTAATAGAGAGCCGCCGCTGAACCAAATCCCAAAGGAGTGAAACAGTGCTTACCATTTTAACATCATGCTTAACAGCCATAAGTTATAATTCATGACCTCTTTTACCATGTTTTGCCGCAAAAGAAGTATTGTACATCTGAAAACTGGCGGATAAAAATTTATGAGCGGCATTAAGAAATCATTAGATGTTTTAATGGTTTCGACCGTTGAACCAAGTTAGTACGATGAAAGGCTTAACTTGTAAGAAAAAAAACTAGCATGATTTTTTTTATCTTTCGGCCTTAAAGAATGATCCGTTTATGTTTGAATAGATCTGTGCTTATAAATGACAAACAATTTATTGGTACTGCTCATGGATGATGAAATGATAATACAAGAAGCCAGAACATTTCATGAACACAATAAAACTGTGAAGCTTAATTGAAATAGCCATGATTGAACTGTTTTTATAGCCTTTTGATGTTTTGAGTGATTTTTCTTTCATTTTTAGATATACTCTGGAACCTTCTGGAACCCTTTTGATCAAAAACGCCATCAAGACCGACGCGGGAGAATACACGTGTACTGCCAAGAGTCCCGCCGGAACGACCAATCAGAGCTCCAGCCTGGAGATCAACGGGGAAAGCGGGATCGGGGAGAGCTACCCGGTGGAGATGTTGCCGGGTCCTCCCGAAGGCAAACCCTACGTTTCCTACGTCAACACCAGTTGCGTTGAGCTGAACTGGAAGCCACCTACGTTGAACCAACATTTGATCAGATACTACAGAATTGAATACTATATGTTAGTTATATAGTTTCTCTAGTTTTGCAGCAACCTGTTTATTTTTTAATCTTCCTCGGTATTTGATGCTTTAATTCTGGCAAAATCACGAAGGTTATCATCAAATGTTTAAGGAAACAAAACAAAGAAAGTCTTGAAACTTGAGTTCAATGACTTCCCTAGATTTTTCACCAAAAGTACAAGATAGTGTCATTCGTTTGATGAAAGTGCTTGAGTAGTGTAGTTTCATTTCATCCCGGTGTGTGAAGCGTTTGTTATCTTAAATGGTTACAGTACTTTCTGGTTTTTCATCAAATGATGTTATGACGTGAGTTGATGATGAAAAGGCAAGGTTGAAACAAGATAAGACAGAAACACATAAATCAAAATAGACCTTAAATTTCCTTTTTCATTTCCTATCTCATTTTGTTTCGCACCTAGACTATGAATGCGTCAGAAAATTGTCTGAAAACGCTATGACAGTCATTAAATAAATTCAACAGACGAGGTGATAAACATTGGTTATAAAGATAGACTAAATTGTTTGCTGTTTGTCTAGATATGGTCTGCAAAGTTGGACCACGGTTCAAAGCCACATCAAACAGACGAAGACGTGGATTTGTGATTTACGGCCGGGTAGAACCTACCTGTTCGTGGCCAGGGCCATGAATGACTATGGCTATGGGCACTCAAGTGACATTTCAGAACCAGCCACTCTGATGGGTTAGTGGAGCTGGACAAAATATCGTGTTCAGTGTCTTGACAATCCACGCTGGGTTGGCTGAGTCACGGATATAAAATCATGTTTTTAAAATTAAATGGCACAAATGAAAAATTTCAGCCGATTGTCATCTTCGACAGAGTTTTTAAGTGATTTTGGAAAAAAAACTATCAATTCATGAATTAAACATTTTCATTTTCGTATTTTTCAACGTAAAATGATTCTTTTGCATATTTTCTAACCAAAGCTAACATCGAATTTTCTATACTAGATCTATTTCCCGAGTTTGACGAGAGCGAGATTCCGATGTTGTCGGAGCGTGTGCAAGACAGGCTGGACAAAAGTGACATCAGACTCCTCGATATCGTCCCTGTCAGCCCTACTTCTCTGAGGGTCTCCTGGATCGTAAGCTCATTTAGCATTATTTCAAATAGTTGTTTTTTCCGAAATAATTCTCATTTTCAATATTTTTTCGTGTAATTATGTATTTTATTGTAATATACGTTTTTTTAAATATTGGTTAAAAGTTAGTCATCTGCTGGAATGTGAGTCTGTTAAGTGACCTGTCGGTTAAGTAGGATACCTCGGCTGAGTCTGAAGTCATTAATTTCGATATCTTAGTATCTGATGATGATAGTGAGGGGTTGCAAAGCCGCGACTCATCGCAGCTTATTTGCTGAATAAATATAGTCAGCTGCCCAGTTTCACTTTTATTATCGGCAAGGTGTTGTGGAATATTAAATCACCCGATTTATTTTTAATCAATAATTCCAGCGGCTGCGATAAATATAACAATATTAATTTCTGAATGCTGCATTTAAGCGTTTCACTGAGGCTATATAATTCATGAAAGAGAGATAAAAGCGGTAACTTCTCTTTTTGCTCGTTGTCAAGTTCTTATGGAATTTAACGTCCTGTCCGCTGTATTAAATATGCAAGCTTAAAAGAAAGAAAGGCGAGAAATTTCTTTGCCAGGTGTTTCACTTGATTGGATTGATAGGCGAATAGCTGAAGTGTATCCGCTACCTTTTGAGTATCCGAGTTTTTCAATCACCAAAGTGGCGTTTGTGAACTCTCTTTTGCTACAGTTCTTGTTCTCTCACTTTTCTGTGCCGCTGGCTAGTTAATATTCCAGACCGCCCTCTTTAAATGGCTTGTTTCCCCAAGACTGTATCAGAAAAACAGGGCAATAAGGTTGAGAAATGGGTGGGTTTTTAGTAGTGGGGAGGGGGGGGGGGGGGCTGGGAATTGGCGCGAGGAGGAAACTAGAGCGGACTCATTTGGTTTGTACTCGGTGTGATTACATTCCATTAAGGAAGCGACAAAGCGTGACCAAAGAGAGAAGAACGCGTGATATAATAATATTAATATTTATAACTCAGTTATTTACAATATCCTGACTGGGCCAGTAAATTTTCCCAAAACCTCCTTCTTCTAATACCGCCACTAGTATGACCCAAATATCCCCTCGCTACACTGCTGAACACCTCCAGAATCCGGCTACTTGGGAAATGTTTCCAGTTTGCTGGCCAAATTAATTGGACTTGAATGTGTTGAGTGTTATTGCTTGGCCACTCTTAATTGATACTTGGCAAGTTAAACTTGTCTTCTGAAGAGTCTTCTAGTAAAATTGGTGCCAACAAACATACTTTATCCAATTGCGCCACAGAATTAGTTGAAATTCGAAATTAAAATATCAAAAAAGGCATGAAATCTCAAACTGTGAACGTCTGTGTTTGTTCTGAACCTCGCTGAGGGCTTAAATTGGTAGAGCACTGTTCAAACAATCAACTAGTGAAACTTTGTTGTAGTTAAACTCTTGAATTCAAACAGTTTAACAATGGAAATCTAAATTATTTCCGGTGGCGAACCTAGACTTCATGAGCAATGTAGTACATTTTGTTTATGCAAAGTTAGACTTCATGCCCTTGGCTAGAACCACACGAAGGCGCTGTAAAAAGGATTAGATTTGAATCTTAATGTTTTTAGTGTCAAAACCATGAAAACTGTTATTATGACAGTATTGATGGTAGAAGGGGGCGGGACAAAATAGCATGTGAGAAGAACCCGCTGCGATCAAGTGCTAAGGCATATTTTGTATATGATCAGTCAAAGCAAAGAAAGTTATTGTGCCATGGCGATCATTCATTCTTTAAATTTAAGAGTCGTAGACAAGGAGAAAATAAATGAATATTCAGTTATTGTTTCTCCTTTTTAGGTGATGCGATATCCGAGCTTGATCAAAGGGTTCCGGCTGCAGTTCACGAGTAACACTCACTACCCCGGAAGTCCCTCTTCCGACTTCGATCTGATCACAAACCCGAACAAGAGAACCCACGTGCTGACGAATCTGCTGCCATATACCATGTACAACATCTCAGTGCAGCCTTTCAACGGAGAAACAGTGGGGAAAAAGTCAGAGTGGAAGCCTGCTTTCCTGCCTCAGATTCCCCCGAGTGCTCCGCCGAGTTCAGTCGAGAAAACTACAGATCACAAACAGTAAGAGTCCAAGTCTTAAGCCTTGATCTGCGAGAAAAAAAACAAGATTTATGGATCAAATGAGAAAATAAATGATGATGATTGGGGAAGTCTACGGGGTTTTACTGGAGTATGTAATTACAATTTTAGTGGAGTCTGTAGTTCAAACCACGTTTTTGGCGTTATTTTGCAGTTTTTTGCAGTTTTCTTTCTTCAAAAAATAAAAATCAAAAAAAAATTCTGTGTCTTTAGTGGTACTGTCAATATTTCGTGGGGTCTGCCCCCTCGAACAAGCTGGAACGGACCTCTCATGGGCTACAATCTGAGAGTGTCCACCTACAACACAGACAAGCCCAAGATCATCATCGACCAGAATGTTAGCACACATGCTTACACTGTGGCTGTGAACAAGACTGCGTTCGACAAAAAAGACGTGAAGATTGAGTTGGCGGCGTTTAACAAAGCAGGCATGGGAGTGTACTCGCAACCCATCTATGTTTTGCAAGGTTGGTATAGTTATCATTTTTTCGATATATACTTACAACAGTTTTTTCTACCCTACGGAAACAAAGCAATACATTTAAATATTTATGCTCGGAAAACTTTTAAACAAAAAATGGAACAATGTTTTGGAAATTTAAGGTGAAAACGTCCCGCGAGATGGTCCCGCAGGAGCTCCGGCAGTATTCGATTTCAAAATTCTCATCTACGCTGGTCTTGGTGTCTTAACATTAGTGCTGGTCGGAGCAGTGGTGTATCTGTTTTTGCGCAACTCATGTTCTATCCGCACTGCGGGCCATGGAACTAGACTGCGACCAGTTAATTGTAGAGACGAGAAGACTTACACCGGAAGTATGGGAAGTAAGTTGAAAGTTTGATCATATTTTTGTTCGCCCATAGCTAATGACCTAAAACATTTCATTCACATGATATAGTATAATGGTAGTCCAATAGTTCAAGTACCTTTGTAAAACTTCATCCAAGATGCTTAGGTTGGATGCCACCAGTTTTAAAAATATCAAGAAGTTTCATGTTTCCAAACAAAAATCTTGAAAATTTTTGTGCTTGAGGTTACAAAATTTAAGGTTGAAAAGCTAACTAACAATTTTGTAGTTTGTTGGGAAGATGTTTGTTATCTTTTTTTTTGCTTTCCCAGAGTTTCTGAAGTAATGTGGCTTAAATAGAGGCGGGGTCATCTCATCTCCAATGGTTTATGAGTAACTGGATGTCATTTTAAACTTAGATAATGGTATCACAAATGGTGTTTTTCAAAAGTAGAGCACCATGTGTTATCAAATTGTCAAATACTCGTCTATTTTTTCATTTATATAGGTGTCATCTTTGTTTGATCTGGCTTCAAACTGCAAAAAACATATCTTAATAAAGTCAAATTTTATTAATTTTTCATGTAAAACGTTGGATTTTTTCATTAAACGAGGCGTGTCCGCATGCCGCATCTACTCGAAACCCAGATTGTTTTGTTTTAAGCGAGCCGTTACTGGAGGCGGCAACTCTTTCACAGATATTTTAGGATCTTGATTTTGGCTTCGATAAATTCACGGAACAAAAAAGAAATCAAGCACAAAACTGAATGCCACAGTTGGCAAAATCATGGTGGACAAAAATCATTTGTTAGTGAATAAACAGTTTGTAAAAAATACATTGCCATCGTTAAAAGATTTAGCAAGAATAAAGCTTATAAATCATTTTTTAAAAATCATTGAAGTTTGTTAATTAGCAAAAAGTGAAATATTCAAGCATGTTTTTGTTTTCATTCCTCAGACCAGAGCTATTCAGTCGCTAAGATCAGCTTTTAGAGACACTTAAACTACAACAACAAGCAAATCAGTTAACTTGTTTTGGACAAGAAAAACAGCAATAAAAACAAAAGGTGTCAAAGTCTTCAGCAATTGTTACTGAAGTGTTTTCGTACTGCTTTTCGTTTATGTTCAACTATATGAGCTCAATTTATAATGAAGACATCTTGATTGAGCTAGCGTGGATTTAATTGGGACTACTTTTTAGCGTATTATTACTACTTCTACACCAATCCCGAAGAATTGCTAACTAGTCCCCGCTCCCCGCGCAGTAAGTCGCTTGCAATTTGCCAGTGGCCTCCTTCGACCCCTGGTTTGACCTTTGGCCTATTTTGTTTTGCAAAGTCAGTTTGTGTCACTGTGTACGTCAGTCAGTCAAGTCGACTACTCAAAGTGACTCATAATTTGAATCATGCTAATCATAACTAGTTTAACTTGATGTCGTATTCGCTCGTCTGCATTTTTGTACATGAGTCTACAGCATTCTTCCTCCGACAACTCCTAGACAGCTTCTTATCTTATCATTTTTACAATTGTTTTGCTGTTTAGAATCAGGCGCTTTCAAAATACTTTCGGCACCTTTGTAGACAGTTAGAATCCGCTTTTCATTTTTTGTCGGAAAAATATCACTGTTGACGCTAACAAAACAGTGTCTTGTCAATTGGACGTCCGAAGCATTTTCTAACTATGTCCAGCTAATAATATCATAAGTTCTGCTATTTTAGTTAAGATCTTCTGGTTAATATGTTCGTGATGATGATGACCCCTCCTTCAAACGCAAATGCCCTTTTGACACAATCTGTAATATTTTGAGAGTTTTTCGAAATTCGAACTTTTGATGACGTCTTAGGCCGCTTTTGAAGCTCAAGCATCACTTGCATATTAACCAAAAGACCAGGCTTTGCTTATTACTACTGTGATTACACATTTTCAGTTATATTCAGTTTATGTTGATTTCTTAACTTTCTACAAAGTATCACTCCCGGGATATTCCGGACCCTGTAACTAATAGCAAGCATCTATGAAACTTCGCCGAATGGAATCGATTTGTTGTATCAGCAGTTGTTAAAAACCCTATCAGTGTTTCGAAAATGAGACTTAATGTCACGACTTGAAATTATTCAAGTTATATGAAATAGTGTATCACCGTTTATACAATTGTCTGATACAACGAATGATTTTTCTACGTTTTTCAACATCTGTTCTAATGTTGAGTTTGTTTCAGGCAACGGTTGCGCCAACACGGAACTAGACGTCGACAGTTTGAGTCCGCAGGCTAAACTGATGCCTCACAACTACTTCAACATGCAGTACCCTGTCAACCAAACATGTAAGTTCAAATCACACGTCAAACGTTTGCTCATTTCAAATTTTTTCAGTTTGAGAGCTGTTTATGAAAAATTGATGCTGTTGATGCGATTTAAACACAGGTCAGCACATGTTTTCTATAGAGGTCAAAGACGTGATTATTAATGAAAGGGCGCTGAACAAATAGGTTTTACTCACACATTTAGTTTTATTTCACCCGGGGCAATTTGTATATTTGGGAAGTGGAGTGGAGGTATTTAGTGTGAATGTGTGAAGAAGAGCTTTGTGGAGTTATTGTGTTTGTGTAATTTGGGAAATGAGCGTGTGAGGAGGAAGGATTAAGTAGCGGAACTTGGTCTGCAGTTATATGGCACTTTGTTGATCAGCGCCGACCGAGGAGGAAACCCGTGGTGCTTGTCAGCACATGGTATGCTAATACGGCCGGCACAGACAAATGACACAACTATTCGCTGTTCAACACTTCCCCACACCATCTTACACTAATGCGCAATCTCACTTTACAACCATATCAATAATCGAATCGAATCGAATCGAATCGAATCGAATACAATTAAACCAAATCTGCGCAACGCTGAGACATATTTTTAAACCAATTCAATTTCTAGTACAAACTTTTGAAATCAAACAACCGTAGACGAAAATAAATTTTCACAGTTTCAAAATACTACCAAAATGGTACTGAAGAAATTGTTGCAAGTTGCAGTTACAGCATTACGTAAAGTGTCTCAGAAACACCATGTGTGCTAATTATGTCATCGGTGTTTCTTCAGTAGCTTCGAATTGTTGCATGGTCCGCTAAATTAGGCCACAACCTATATAACTTTCACCAAATTAAGACGGAGATATTGTTTTGCGTGACAGCAATTTCAAAATGAGAAGACCGCATGTTTAAATTAACATGCCTTTTTGGAGCTCCCGCTAAGTTGGCTAAATTGTAAATGAAGTTTGATCGGAGATTAAAAGGGTACCCGGTGAATGGAAGTACTGTTGGTGGTGTAATCCCATTTCAAGTGGTCCCTTTGAAAAGGGATCAAATTATCACTACTTAAATCAAAACACGACTGAGAAAAGATATATCTTCCAAAAGAACAGTCTAAATCAGATAACTAATTTCAATTTTTGAAGGCTGGAGAAGCCAACCGAACGTGGTTAGAATTGGAATTGACACTCTTCGTTGCCATTATGAGCGAAGCTTTTCTTGGCCGTTTCAAATACTGAAACCTTGACAAATGAAAGATTGTTTTTTGAACAAGTTTTGGTGAAAAGTAGTGGTGTTTTAGTATACAAGTACCATCACAACAGTACATCCCCATGCAGTGTCGTCACATCCATGAGTACACCAGTTCACATAGAACCAGCCTCTGGAGGACACCCACATAGTGTCTTCTACAACAGCCAACTGGCCCACCACCAGATGATGAACCCTGGAGGAGGAGTTCACCACGGAGGACGGGGAGGCATCGTTACTTCGGCTGCGCCAGATTTGATACAGGTGCAGGCACATCATGGACAGCTGAACCCGGGCGACCCGCAGTATGCCGAGATACCAGGTGTGTTTTACCGCAAAATAAAACCAAAGTGATTGCAAGTCCGATGTGAACAAAGCATGAAATCATCTTTTGCATGGCACTCATGTCTATCTCATTAAAAAATAGAATTCACAAGTGTCACGGTTAAGCTGACCGATGTTTGATAGAGCATAAATCGGCGGCCCACATAATTGTTTTTGAACAAAATGTGAATTGCACTAAGTAATTTTTCATCTATGACCGTTTCTATCTACCAATCTGCTTTTTTATAACAGCAGACAGTAGACATTTTCGTTAGCGAAAAAAATTATTATCAAAAAATTACTGTACATGCTCATTACTTGTAAAATCAGGCTCGTTATTTTATGGTGAGTCGTAAAACTACGGATCGTTAAAATCAGTGAAATTGCTACATCGACTTTGAACCATCCAATTTATTGACTTCTTGAGAGTTCCAAGTCATAAAACTAACGGTTAAACCTTTCCTTTTAGAGGCTAACGAAGCCACTGAAGCTAATGAAGCTACTGAAGCGAATAGTACGTATTGAAACATTATGGATCCCTTAGTTGCCAAACCAGAAACTGTTTGAATAGTTAACCCTTCCGCTCACATTGGGGCCAAGGGTATACAACTACACTTCCAATTGATTGTTTTAAAGCCAGATGAATAAAAACTAGAATTTCTGATGTAGTTTAAGACTTGATAGCAATCTAATTTACACGTTTTTATTGCTATTCAGTGCTCCTTGATATACCAAGAGTGATGAACATTGTTTCATGCTGTTTGCTTCAAAATGGTGGACAGTACCGATGTTGTTTTCGCCCAATTGCTTTAGATTGCTATCACTGTGCTTTCAATAGACAGCGAGTGAATCAGATATTTTTAACGTATTCCTCCGATTTGAAGTTAAAATTAGTCTAATTTAGTTAATTTTTTAATTTTCAGGTGGTTTCTACGAACTAGCAGCACCAAGCAGTATGAGTTCCGACAACTGCATCGAGTGTCAGCGCGAGCGAGCAGCATTGGCGGCCGCAGCACTGGGCCAGCATCCGGTACCTGTAATGACAGCTCAATTTCAGCAGCATCACAATCGACAGGGTGGCGATGCTTGTCTGGTCAACCATCCAGGTATGGGTGGGGGAACATCCAGTGGTGTTTTAACCCCAGCCACCTCGACTATTATGAGCATGAGTTCGAATCCCCCTGACAACCACTCCTCGTGTCCTACTCCTTCTGGAGGGTTCATGCAGAACTACTACGGCGGGATTCCCCCATCAAGCGTCGGAGGACCTGGTGGAGCTCCCAACATGCACGCTTTAAGAGGAGCAATGGTGAACACACACCAAAGTGGCAGCTCCAGTCCGATGAATGTCGGTGGACATAATAAACAACATGGCGGCTCTTCGAGTGCACATTACGTAGACCACGTGAATAATAATCATAGCCATCAGCAGCAGCAAACGATGTCAGGAGTTTGTCCCCCGGTGGCAGCAAATGCCCAATATCACCAGCTGGCTAATAACGACTACACTAAATTGGACGACTCCATATCAGGTATGTACGCTAGCCAGTTAGAATCATCATTAGTCGTAGCAATGGTGGTAGCATATAGAATTTAGAATTTAAGTTGAATGAGATTTCTTTCGGTTTTGATATTGAAATATCGCTTCGGATTTGTTCGAGTAGATGTAGAAATCTATTAGAAGTTGCTGTAAAAAAAAAGAAATATATCTTAGATAGAGTTTGATATGATAGACGATGGTTTATTTGACCTTGCATATTTAACACTCTTGGTCTTGAGCACTTATGACTGCAAACAACGCGCCACTTCCTTAGGCTAATTGCACTTGTCTTATAATGTGCGCTTTTCAGGGTCCATAACTTCCAAGACGTAGGTTTTCTCGTTACTCCTGGGACTGTTTTGTGCTCAACCTATCAACCATTCCTCTATTCCTTTCAAGCAGACGAAAAACTAACTGGTCTAAAATTAACATACCCCCATTGAGAGTTAATTAGTCTATCTCTCGGTTTTGTGAATAATTTTCATTTAGTTGGTAATTTGTCTGCTTGAACCACATTTCTGGATGGACACAGGATAGATTAATCATTTTAATTAATCCAAGCTGGCAATGTTTTAAACTTGAGACTAATGATTTGCGTTAAAACCGATTTTATTTTCAATTTTCGATATCAGTTCCGTTATTCTAACAGCATGATTAAATGCACAAACATATTCGTTTTGAACGTTAATGATAAATGTTCAGTTTGCTTTTTGTCGAAAAGTTACCTTGTGATCAAAAAAAACTTTAAAGCGGCGGCTTCATGTGGAGTTTGTGAACCAGATTTTTAAATAAAATGTTTTCACCGCTTTGATTGAAAACTACACCTCAGTTTAATTCTTTTAGTTAGCTTCGATCTTCAAACTGACCGTTTTAAAAAATATGTCGAATTGTTTTTTTAGAATCCGAACCTGAGAGCAGCACCCCTCCCCCTCAACAATCAGCTTCAACTGGAGGGGGCAATCATTACAACTGCAGTTACTCCACTGGAAACGAAAACAACGTGAAAGGGTCAGCTAACCGACACTCATTTATCAACTCGCAGCACCACCACCAATACCCCAACAATCCCGGCTCGAATCTCCCAACGTCCGCTTCTTTTCTGTCCGGTGGCACTCTTCCCGGAAATAACAATAACAATGTGGGCCACAACCATAAGCATAACAACAACACGTACAGTGCCGATTTTTCTATGATAAACGCGACAGGTAACAACACCTACAGTAACCAAGACGTCCCTTATGATCTGATGTCGAATTCAGTGACAGCGTCCGGAGGCGGTGCCACCATCGGAGGACATCCGAGTGCTTCCAGAATCCAGCAGGATCCAGCGAGCACTGGCAACTCCGGATCGCCGGCTAATTCGAGTTCCCAGACCCACTCCCGACCTAGAATGGGAATCTCGTCTACCGTCCCATCAGCTTTAGGAAGGAGCGTGGCGTCGCTTCCTCCATACGCAGGCGCTGACGCATGCTAATCTGTGGCAGTCTCTTCTAGCCCCGAACCCTTTAATCTAATTCCCTTTTGAAAAGGGAAGAGTAATTTCAAATATACAAAACTCTTAGTTTCTACAGATTATGACCAATGTGAATTTCAAATTATTCTTCGTGCAGATGAACTCCACCTATGAATTGCTGCGTGGCTGTATCTTCCAGAGATTGGTAAATAAGACAAAGAAGACTCTGACAAAACTTCTGACCTTAAAATCTTACACACAATTATGAAGCAATAGAACAATATTTTGTACAAACTTAATAAATTGCTTTGTCGAAAAATTTTATGTTAGTTTTTAAAATACTTAATTCATTTCTATCCCTTTGTTTTGTTTCCTAAGTTAAAGGGGTAAAAAAATTCTACAAATTATCCTGCTCATCAAAAACTGCCACTATACTTTGCATCCGCTCCATGATTCCGATAAAAAGCTAAAGAAAAGCGATGCAATAATAAATTTTTATAACGTCATTGTCTTCGAATGCGTTTCTATTTTGGGATTAAAAGACTTACCCTGTAATGGTTATGCTCAGAGTCAAACTTAAAGCTTTGACTAATGTTTGTTTTTTTGCTCGAAAAAAATCAAACCACCCCACGCTTGAAGTAATCGTAAATCGTAAAATATTAAATATTGTGGTGGGCATACTTTGTGGCGTATTGGCCGGCTAGTTTTTCCGGCAGAAGCAAGGAAAAGAAAAATTGAATGCTTCCCCTCACGCAAATTGAGGCTGCAGAACTAAAATTCATGGATCATGTGGTACATCATGCCGAAGTCATTAACATTGAATTAAACAGTTAGTAATTGATTTCTGGTGCTTTGCACAACCTTCTTTTGTGATGCTGAGAGTAGGTGGATCGAAGATTTTCAAAAACATACAACGATATCCTTGTCTTCAAAAAAATTAATAAACGAAAAAAAATTTAAACTTTTTCGTAAATTTTTGTACTAAAAACTTAATTTTGTATGCAAATTAACATGGCCAAGAAAACGCTTAATGAAGCGTCAAAAACTGGGTTTCATTATACTAAAATCAAACATTTTTAGCCTAAATAGCCAATATTAATATGTAACGAATGTTAATCGATCGCTTTACTTGCTCGAAATTGGACTAAGGCTCAAAAATTTTAAACCAGTTTTTCTCAAATCTTAGAGTTTTTTGAAAATTTCCTAATGTCGAATCACGACTGAAAGGGCTTTCACATCAGTGGCGGATTTAGGGCGATGGGGGCGGGGGTGGGTGCCTTTTCCTCCCCCCCCCCCTCAGGGATTCGACCCCTGCCGACCCAAAGGGTCCGCCCTTGGTACTTTTAAGAAATCAATCTTTGGCAGATCGACCCTAAAATTTTTCTAAAGGCACCTTTGACGCCAATATATAATAATTTTGAGGGGAAGGGCGCGCCAAAAAAAGCTATTTTTTTTGTCAAAATTTTCTAAAAAGTGCCCAAAAACAGCTTTTTTGACCGGTTTTACAAAAATTTGCTAGCGGCGTAGAAAATTGGGCCAAAACAGCGTCTTTTTAGTGCTTTAGGAGAATTCGGAAAATCAATTTGTCGACTTAAAAAAAAGGTTGTCAAAATTTTCAAAAAATATTGAGAAAATTCTACATCCGCCCCTGTTTCACATGATATCTGTTTCATTCCGATAACCTTTTGTGGTATGTGATTTTGCAAGCATTATAAAAAAACACATCCAAATACAAAGTTCTTGCACGTTTTCATATGGCTGGAACAACAAAAATTGAGAAACCTAAGCATGAAGCAAGACTAAAATTAAGTGGAATCAAATGGAGGAGGTTTGATTACTGTGCAAAAATCACGAAATTTTTACAAAAAAAGTGGTTGCTTATTCATTTTAATGGTGATTTTGATGCAAGTAGTGCAAAGAGAGAAAAACAAAGTGTTTACTTGATTTGAGTTGAACACTAAAAATCTGAACCATTTTTTCTTGATACAGATTTAAAATATCAATTGAATAATCATTGAAGGGTCTTTAGTTTGATATATATTTTCACTGCATCTTACGTTTTTTGTAGTATCTGGTTTTTGTAGGAAACTGCAGAAAAAAAACAGAAAACAACCAATGGCAGTTTTGTTTCTACATCAGCGATTAGAAAAAAATCTATCAAAAAGTTTAAAAAAGTTGAAGTAGATCAATTTTATAAAAAGTACGTACTGGAGCACTTAGATTTAAATGAATTAGGCTGAACAGAGTGAAAATTATGAGAGAACAAAACAAATTTAATCTGCATATTTCAAGCAATTTTTGTGCAAAATGAGCAGCATACTAAACTTCGTACCATTTATTTTCAGTTTAAGAATTTTGTCTTGATGATAGAGAAAAAAGATGTTCGTATGAAATGTTCAGTTCTGGATTTTAGCCAACTGATTTTTGGAAAAATTCGATTTGATTTTAAAAAATTTAATATATTTGTTACAAACTTAACAAGTTTTTTTTAAATCTTAGATTCGTCTAGCAGACAACACTTTTTTGTATAGAATTAGTGAAGTTATGAGTAGCTTGGGTTTTGACTAAAAATTCAGATGGCTGTTTGATGGAACATGATCAAGGGCAATCCCATTGGAATGTCAGATCCGCATTTAAAACGATGCTGCCCAATCAGCCTCTAATTGTGCCTGCACTTCTCGAATAATTTTTTCTTGTCAAACGATCAAAGCCTTAAAACCTAATGATATCAATTATGGATTTTGGTTATTGGCGAAGTTTAGCACGCTAGTTGAAATTTGACCAGTATCAATTGAGAAACTTAGTAGTATCCTTTTGATTTTATAAGGTGCTCTTCCGTTTGTGAAAACGATTGCTCTCAGTTTCAATTTTAAATTTCAGTGAACTAAAAAAAATCAAACAGTTTACTCATTAGTGTTTTTTACATTACCAGACCCAACTGTACTGTTTGTGATTTGTAAACATATTCCTCAATAAGCTAAAAATAGATTTGTTGCGGAATCCGCAAAACTGCTAGTTTTTCTTGATCATTTTTTTGCTGTTATTGACTCCACAGAAAAATATTTAAAACAACAGAAAATTGCCTGTACTGCTGAAAATTGCTCTCAAATAGACAATAAAAATCAGGTATAATCAAACTGAACTATTGCAGAATCTGCAGTTGCGTGCGAAATCTGCAAATTGTAATCACATTTGTGTGGGGATGCTAGTAACACATATAGTTACGTCCTGAAATTACATTTTTAACTTAAATCTGTTTCCGTGGGTCATCAGCAGGACTGTCCATCCGATATATCTCATTTACTGCCAACAGTTTGAACCCTTCAGATACACCTCAAATACTGAAAGATTGAACAGTTTTCTGATCTCAAATACTGCGAGATTGAACGCCTTCCCGATTTCAAATACTGAAAAAAAAAGTTTTGAACTCAAACTCTGAAAGAATGAACACTTTTCCTACCTCGAAAACTGGGTTGTATGAAATACTGGAATGCTTGATGGGTTACAATGGTGAACTATCAATCAATTCCATTTATTTCCGACACTAAAAGGGTACATCCACAATTTTAGGTGAACATTGATTCAAGATTTGTGTTTGGATTTCACTTACGACAATTATATGCTTGTTTTTGACTTCCGCATTTGCTAGATAACAACTTGAGCTATAGCTCTTAATTTTTCCCGCAAGGACTAGTCCAGTTTGGTTTTTCAAACCAAATTTTGATCCACGTATATTTCTGGAGTCCGCTTACATTTATCGAATCCGCTTACAATTTACTGATTCCAGAACAACTAGCTATATTTGCTTGTTGTGGAATTCGGGGCAAAAATGTGCCGTCAAAATTTTTGTTACACATATTTGTACGCGGAATAATCGGAAACTCTGATGAATTTACTTACATTTTGGAACATGTTAAAGACTTGGTTCTGGAATCCAGGAGCATAAGACACTAAATTGTTCGGCACCTATCCATTGCATAGTTTGGCCTAAGAAATGTAAATTTTTTTACTTTAACTACCTTAACTGGGTACCCATCCATCTTTTTTATTGATTGCTGAGGAAGCATCGGCTTATCAATACAGAAAAAGCGTGTTGGAAAGCTTGAAATCAGAAAAATTTTTGCGACATTTTGACTGAAAAATGGCAAAAATTGGTTTCAAGCTCCATATCGGTACTGCAGTATGCTTTTATAACACGTTTTGGTTACCAAAAGTGTCCATGAAATATCTTACAACAGTGTCCAAGAAAGTTTTTGCATAGAAAAATTTTTTAAGTTTTGTTTCTTTTCATCAATTCATCAATTACAACATATTTCTCTGAAATTTGATGAAAAATATGGTAAAAAATTTTGTGAACTTAAAAGACAAAATCTGGGCAAAACCTTGTCTCAGCTAGATTTTATACAAAAATTTGTCAATGTATTATAAAATGGGTAAATCTAAAAAGTTTGAAGATTTTATTTTTGGAATTTCGCCAAACTTTATCCGCGATTGTTTTCATAAAACAAAATATAATATCCATAAAAATATTATCATCAACCAAAAACTAGAAGAAAAACCAAAAAAAATTGATAATCAAGCTTCTCTGCCAAAACTGAAGACGCTGTCAAAGTTAATTTGAGAGAACCTATGATATCAATGAGCTAGCCGCAATTGAACTTGGAATAGGTATTTGAGAAAACAGTTGAAACAGTAAGAAACGTTCAACACAAGAAAGATACAAGCAAAATGATGCAATACAAGTCATATTGCAAAAACAAGTAAAACCAGAAAAGTTTTTCGTGGCAGGACGAAGCATTGAATGTCCCGACTGCCATTTAACGTCCCTAACATGAAAAAGTTTTCAAATTAGAAAAAATGATAAAAAGTTAGAAAGAACGAAACAGTTAAAAATTTCTACATTTGCCTACCCCATATTTTGATATTCCATATCTCATATTTTGATATTTCATAAAATTTATACATGCTATTATGGCTAAATGCCTGATTACTTTTTGTAGAATTATATGTTTTAGTACATTATGACGATATTAAAACTGAAAAGAAAAAATCAAATGGGCGGGGGACTGAAAAAGAGCCCATTTTTTCTGAAATCCATTCTTTCCCGTATAAATTTTATGAAAAAAAGACAATAATTTGTGAAAAAAAAGATAATCTTTGTTAAAAAGAACGAAACAGTTAAAACTTTCTACATTTGCCTACCCCATATTTTGATATTCCATATCTCATATTTCGATATTTCATAAAATTTATACATGCTATTATGGCTAAATGCCTGATTACTTTTTGTAGAATTATATGTTTTAGTACATTATGACGATATTAAAACTAAAAAAAAATCAAATGGGCGGGGGACTGAAAAAG